TTTTTTTTTTTTTGGTCAAATAGAATCAAGATCAGAGCTTACTCCATGGTTTTCACATGACATTGTTCTTTCATTGGTACCTGAGACTAGATATGGCTTTAGAGGAGATTTTTTCTATTATTTATGTCTTTTTATGCAGATTAGTGGGGTTTGGCATTACGTTTACTTCTTTCATTGGTACCTTATATCTTTCATGCTAGTTTTGTCAGCGATGCATTTTTTGTTAGTGTTGGTGAAAGTATTGATCTATCGAAATTGATAATAAAAGAGTTAAACTAACTCTTTTGCAGCAGCACAGTGGTTCTGAGTTTCTTGATTTTGTTACGTTTTAAATTAATTTAACCAAAATCTCTCTTAGTATCGTCTGAAATGCTATTCGAAATATGGTTGTTGTGTTCCCTCAAAATTAGGGTCCTAAATGACATGACTATATTTTACTCTTTCAAATGTTGTGCAGGCACTGTCTTCATTTTTTGTTGCATGTTCTGTGCTTCCATTTTGTGGTTATTAATTTTTTTTTTCCTTTTCTATTCATTCACTATCTTTTCTATTTTTTTTTTTTGGATTGCTTATGAACATTTTTTTCTGCTAAGCAACTCTTTCTATTTCACTAAACAGTAATTCCAATTAACAGAAAGCCTTCCAGGAAATTCGAAATTTTACATTCGAAGGAGTAACCATTTGTTTGGTGACAAATACCTTCTTGTGACATTTTTGAACCACTTTGCAAAGTCTTGAGCTCTTAATTAGCTTTAAATATTGTTCTGTTCTCATGCTTTAAGATACTATTTTAAATTGCGTGTTCTTTTCTTTTCACAATATAACTTGACCGTTTTAGTCATGTAATTATCATGACAAGTCCTGATAATGGGCTGATAATAAGCTAACTTGGAATAGGCTCTGTTATTGCTTCTAGTTTGTAATTTTTGTTCCCATAAAACTCTGTTTTATTTTCAAACCTTGACTCGTCAAAGTTAGTTTTCCGTTCGACCGCCAAGTGCTAATACAACTTTGAGTTATTTCAGATCAACTCTATTTCAACTTGTTCATATAACTACTGAGTACTGACAATGTATTTCTCAATACAGTGGATCACCTCTTTTGTTTTGTGGAGAAGAAAAGCTCGGAGCTGCAAGTGAGTAAATGTTTTTTTATATCTTTTTTTACTGATTTTAGCTATATGTATCCCTATTAGTGTCTTTTTTTTTTGGGAGCTACTTTTGGCTGCATCTAATGCTTGTGGTTATCGATCTGATAAATTCGTGGAGATGATATAACATTGTCAAGAAACAAAATATTGTGTCAGTTTAATTTCAATCTTCGTACAATCCTCGAGAATAAGTGAGGAAGATTAATAAAAGAGAGGTATAAGATCAAGTATAGATAATTAAGGGAAATTGAGGGGCCAACTTAATGCATATGATAAATAGTTTCACTACGCGTGGAGCTGCAGTTATGGTTCGAGAGATTACACAACCCGTATTTTTCACACTTTTCTCTTATTTCTTTTAGGTACATGTTTGGGTTATCGACCAATAACACGGGCTTGCTAATACTTCTAGACCGAGGTCCTTGTGTAGGGCGATTGAGACACATAAAGATTACAAGCACGTGATGCCCATCTGAAATCTACATCCGGTTAAGAACTTCTTGGCTTAAATCTTCTCTTATTCGGATTATGTGTCACATTTCTTTTTTCTTTTGTTATTTTTCTTTCTTTTGGTATGGGATTGAGTATGCATTAATTTGTGCAGCTTTTTTTTTTTTTTTTTTTTTTTTTTTTTTTTTTTTTTTTTTTTTTTTCTCTTATTTCCTTCTTTTTTTTTCTCTATTTTCTTTGTTGCATTTCTGGGTGTGGGATCATTTAGAGAGCCTTGATATGTGAGTAGGCATTACATAATGCAAGTTTGAGGATATACTGTATCTACTTTTGGGTTTGGTCTTGGATTTGGGCTTGCGTTTGGGCTTGGTCTTGGATTTGGGCTTGCGTTTGGGCTTGGGTGCAATTTAGTCAAGATTCGTCTGATAAATTTGGTTGCCCGTGCCGTGTATATTACTTGCTCGCTTGGGGAATTTTGTATATATGTTCTATTTCTCCTAAATTTGCTCAAGTTATTGTTCAGCAATCCCTGATAACATCTCAGTCTTCTGGTAAAAGAATTATAGAAACAGATCTTTATTAGACAGATTCTAATAAAGAATTTCCAGTAAATTTTGTTCTGTATAAATATTGTAGAGCACAATGGGGAAGTATTTTCGGAACATCTGCAAATCCTTCCATATTTTTATCCGAATTATATCCTCGACTCAAATCCAGATAAGCAAAGGCAATCTTAATTTTGACGACGATCCATGAGACATGGTTAAATGTCTATGTTTTTTTGGAAAATCGACCCCTTGTGTGTTTGTACCGACGATGAGTTTCCAACAGAAAAACTCGGCGAGTGTATGATTCCCATATCATGAACAGAAAATATATCTTGATGTGGGAAGATCATGGATCTAAAATATATCTTGATGTGGGAAAAATTATGTTAGGTGTTTCAAATTTAGATGATTTTCATTTTTGGTAATCAATATCATAGCTTAATTGAACTTGATATTGTCGTTACTTCTGTAAGCTAACTGATAGCTCATAAGTTAGCTTATAGTTTATCGGTAACTTTCGAGCTTACAGTTTATAGTTTATGACTTATAGTTGAAAAGTTAGATTAGTATGATAAAATTGTTTGGTAAAACTAGTTGATAAGCTAGCTGAAATAAAATTTCAACGAGCTTATTTGAAAAATTACCTACAGAATCTTATCAAATAAGCTCGAGTTTTTTTTTTTTAAAAAAAAAAGCTTGTTCCACCAAACAGAGCTTATTTGAATACAGAGAATTTATAAGCTAACCAAATAAGCTATAAGCTAGCTTATTGGTCTACCAAACATTGATGAAACACAATCATAAAACATTTGAGTTGAATAATAGTGGTAAAATTCTTTTTTTTTTTTTTT